CAATGTAGACTCAAGTATTATGCATAACAAGTTCTGAAGTGGCTGGTATTTTGAACTTTATTAACATAGTCTGAGCCGTAAGACTGCTTCCACATGTCTTAAAACAAGATGAATATGGCTGGGGAAACAATATGGTAAATGATGAACAGATGAGTTCAGAATTGGAGTCATTCTGCGCTCCCAAAAAAGGATATTGTAGTCCAGGTACTCTGTGGTTTCTGGCTGGAAGTAAATGTATATGCTTGTATACCATTGGTCATTAAATACTGTTACAGGAATTAGTATAGGAAATGGGCTATTCTTCTTTGCACATAAATGCAGGATATCATTATTTTTCTTAAGAGCAACCCCTTAGTGGCAAAAGCCCTAATTTTGATCTTGCTTGCAATCTGGTGTTACCCAGAATAGAAACATAGCTAAATGGTTTCTTTTTAAGCCACCCTGTTTGAAAAACTGTAATAGTTTTAGTACTTCTTATCTAATGGACCTTACAGGAGAGTAACTGAACCTTTGCAGGTTTATATTGTAATTAATTAACAAATGAGGTAGCTATACTTGTCGTGATGTGATGAATGAATGTTTTATTGTGGAATTGTTACCTTTAGGAAGGTGGTAAGCTTTTAATTGTCTGACATGATTTTAATTAAATATAACAGTCTAGTTGACAAAATAAATACTTGGAAGATGCTTGGATATCAGTGGTGGTTTAGAGATGTTCAAAGTGGAGCTGATTGACTGCTGAGGATGGGCGCCTTCCTTCCAGTAAAGTTCAAACCATTGCACGGAAAGAAATGCAGGTAGAAACTGGAGCAACTGAATATTTTTATTTTTTTCCCCTCTTCCTAAAGAGTCTAAACAATTATGCCTGGCTTGTTACGAGTTAACTTTAATTTGTTTGTCATACCTCACCTACAGCTAATACTGTGATTGTGTTAGCTACAACAATTTTCATAGTCTTTTATGGAAATTAAGTGTTTAAACATTTTGTTAGAACATTTTATTAGAAACTTCTGCTCAGAGAAGTTGTGGCTGCCTCATCCCTGGAAGTGTTCAAGGCCAGGTTGGATGGAGCTGTGAGCAACCTGGTCTGGTGGGAGGTGTCCCTGCCCAGGGCAGGGGGGAAGGGGGTTGGACAAGATGAACTCTAAAGTCCCTTCCAACCCAAACCATTCTGTGATTCTATGAAAGCTGATACAAGTTTGAAGAATAAATCTACCTTTCACTCTGAGAACCATTGTTTTAAATGCAGCTTATTTCAACAGTTCTGGTTTTCTGTGATGTTGGAATAAAACAGCAAGTATACTATAAAATACCTGCTGGTATGATAGGCTGGTCTTCTAGAGGGGTAGAGTTTGCCATAATATAAATTTAATCTCCTCTTTCTTCAGATTCTTCTATATAGGTACTTCTTGAAATTGTCTTAGGACAAACAAAAAAACTCGGATTTTACAAAAGCAGTCTAGGCAGTTACCTGCTGACAGTTATAAATACTCTCTGTCCTCTTTTCAAAGCCTTTTCATAATGCAGAAATTCTTAAGTTTCTCACAGTGGATTTGTAGTGTCAGGTTTGGGGATACAAGTTTTCTGAGGAAGTAATCAAATTGGATGAATCTAGAGTTGTTCTCTAAAATCTTGTAGAAACATGAATATATTCTTTTTTAAGTTACATTTGACTAGCTACATCTTTACATCTCTAATTAAATAACTTTTGAATGATGTCAGTTAGCATATAAGCCAAAGTAACAAAGGACAGTAAAATGTTGAAACTTTGTATTTGAGATGGGTAAAAGGAATTAATCTGTGTGACTGAAAGAAATTAAAGTGAGATTTTTTTTTCCTTAAATATCAGTACTCTTAAATTCTTCTGTCTTGAACTAATCGTAAAATATGATGCATCTCATCTGCTACATCTTGTTTCTGTGGAGTAAGTGTTGCTACTAACTGGTATGACGGCAGACTCAGACTCCTGTCTGAAGTGTCTGATGGCTTTAGCGTATTTGTTTTCCAGTTCGTATTTACTACATGGTTATGTTCAATCAAGTAATGTTTCACACAGCACTTGGGAAACAAAGCTGTATATAGGAGCTAAATATTAGTAAGGAAATGGCAATTAATATTTTATTACTCAAACTTCATTAATGATTTACTCACAGTCCCATGGAGAATACTTGGTCATAAATGTGAACACAAATCTTGGACACTTTTTCACTGAAATTAGAACAGGCACGTTTTCTTTGGATGGCTGGGTCTGTAATATCCTGCAGGAACAATCTGATCTTTAACTAAAATACTGCTTTTGCAAATGATACTTGGTTCCTTTGGAAACTTAGTGTGGGGTTAGGTGGAGATGGGTGATGTTTAATACCAACAAATGAAATTTGAACTTCTTTTTTTAGGAGAATCAAGACAGCACACAGTCACCTTATTCTGCTTTTGTTTTCCTACCCTTTTAACTCTCATGAGTAATGCAACTGTCTTCTCCCTACATTTGTCTCTTTATAAAATTGATTTTGATGATGAAGAGTACTTGTATGAATCCTACTGTAACAGGTCACAGGTGAGGGTTATTACTGTTGTTCAGTGTCTTGCTATTTATTGGATGAAGTGAAGTAACTGTCCCTGTATGTGTGGTGTTGACAAAAAATATGAAACTTAAGGAAAGGTGTATGAGAAATGCTTTATGGTTTGGGGGAAAAGAAGCAGTCCTTACTAATGATGCAGCTTTGTCAGAGGGTAAGGGTAGGAGGAAGAGGAGTTCTGCTGTTTTAAGTAAAAGAGAAATCTCTTTTTTTCTCCCTCTAAGCTCCTGTTTGCTGTGTGCTGTACGTGTAGTGGGTTCTATCACTCAGTAGAGGTAAAGAGATTTCTTTTTTGGGATATGTGAGACTACCGCAGACCACTGCAAAGTAGGAGTTAACCTTATTACATTAATGGGGAGGTAATTTTGGAACCAGACTGAAATCTGGGAAGTAACTTCTGACTCTGATGCTTCGACTGATTTTTTTTTTCCCAATTTTTTTTCTGTCACTGGAAGGCACATGAGGCTTTCAGCAGCTTCTGGATTTTACTTGTAGGTTCGTTTCGTAAATATATCATCACCAGCTTGTATTCATACAGACGCGTAAGGCAATATTGCTTTGTTTTTAAGCTATTACAAAGCCAAAATAGAATGCAGTTTATAAAGTGGGGTTTTTTTTAGGGATTTCGCAAAACTTATATCCTAACTTTACTTACTAAGCATCTGTACTGTTTGCAATATGAAAATGTGTTTTAGCAGAAATGGTGGTTTTGCTCATGTTTTGATACAAGTCTCGGATGCATTCCTCTGATCTTGGCTGTTGGCAATAGAGAGATCCCTTAATCCAATTCTTTTCATGCTCTGAAAACTTAGAATTTAAGGATGACTGTAAAAAGGGTAGTCTCTGAACTATTTGATTGTAGCAGGAGGAACAAATTTAATGTTTTTGATTTTGTTTTTTTTCTTTATTTCTTTTGCCCCAGGCTAGTTCTTTGGTTAACCAAATCCACTATAATCCCATCAGGAGAATGTGGTGATCGTTCAGTAATTTATATTGTATGGTTGTCTTAATCCAGGTTCTGTCATTGTAGCAGAAAATATGAATCAAAGCCCACCATATGACTTAGCTGTGTCCATATGGAAATAATAAACTGTGTAATAAATGGTCTCCTGTTGTACAATGCAGTATTGAGGATGATTTTCTTCCAAAGCAACTTTTCTTTCTAAAACTCAGGCAAGCATAGAAATCATTCCCAATTTCAAGAGTCTTTTCTCTGTGAAAAACTGATTGGTCCATTGTTTGGGAGAAGTCAGAAATCTTTCTAACTTAGAGGATGCTTGCCTACACCTTACTTTCATGAATTATGGAAACAGGTGTGTAATTCTAAAAAACAAATTTAACTTTGAGTGGGATTGTTCCATGTTTCAGCAAGTGGCTCTATCAGTATCAGATTTGTGGGGCTACTGTATGTGTATACTGGAGGCCAGCTGTGGCTTCTGAAGGATGTTAACATCTGCTGAGAACTGCATGTTAAGTTGATACTGCTTCATTCTGATACTCCAAAAGATACTGGAATTTAGGGATTTTTTTTCATATTTTAACAACACAAGGGATAAATTTCTCTGCAAAGTTTCCCTGAAGTTTTGAGATTCAAACTTGAAAGAAAGACTTTTTCCCTTCCATGTACCATTTTCTTCAGAGGCATTTTTAGTTTGGGGACTTCTTTGAGAAGTAGTTTATAATTGCCAGCAGTGACAGTTATGTCATGTGTACTTTGTTTGATAATCTGAGGGTAAAAGCAAGTTGTGGTTTGCCTGGAGTCAGTGTATTGAATATTTTCATTTACGTTTGCACCCCTATAGGAGTTAATACTTGGGTTAAAGTAAGTCAATGTTTGAAGCTTTTCTCTTAACTACATGGCATTTTATTTGAATGCTGGGTTTAATTATGGGAATAATAGCAGCAGTTTAAATGTTGATGTAAACTGTGTAAGGAACACAGATTTAGATCAATTGTGTGAATGTATGTATTTTTAAGAGTTGATACTCCTGTAATAATTCCACTACTGATTCCAGCGTACATTAATACACTTAGAATGACAGATAACACTTTCACTCAAATATATGTTTTGAATCGAGAATATAGAACATTGTGTTGCAATTTGGTCTTTTCACTTAATGGTTGTATTTTTATTAAGCTGTGAGGCTGCTCTCCCATTACACATAGGAAATGGAAAAAGTGTAATGAGGTTTAACAGTCAGATTGACTGATTATTTTGTCCCTGTTCTTGGGTGGGTTTTGCTAATACGAGGTTATGAGTATTAAATGGAACATTTCCTTAAGAGGAATGGATCTGTTGGAACTGCTTGATGATCCTACACTTTCTTTGAAAACCTGGTAAAATAACTGACCGTAATGTTATATTCATTGGAATCTGGAATTTGGAAAGCAATGCTAACTTTTTTTTTTCTATTCTTGTAGCTTAGATATCAGCATGGGCTGAGTACTCCAGATCTAAGGCAAACTCTTCCTAACCTGAAAAACTTCATGGAGCTTGGGCTAATGGTTAGATGGTAAGTATTTTTTTTTTTTTTATTAAAAAGAAAGAGGTGGATGCTACAAAAATTTTAGACGTAAGGATTTTTCACAAACAGGCAGTTCCTCTTCACAAGTTAGGCATGCTTGGTGAAGGTTGTGACTTTCTCAGAATAAGACCATTTAAATGTCCACGATATTCTGTTTTCTTCTGCTCTTATAGTATCTTCCATATGATGGGCCTGCAACACTTCAGAGATGTGTGGAGCAGAGGGTAAAACTTTGGAAAACAATGTTCCTCACTAGAGGGAGGTGAATTAATCATTCTTTTAAGACTGCATCTAAGGCTTGGTAGCATATGCACCTTGTGTATTATGATAGTCCAGGAGAGGAGAAGGGTGTAACAACCTTAGCAGAACAGCTCTTAGCCTGGTCAGTACCTGGCTTCCCATTGCTTTAAATGTGTAATTCAAGTGAGCTGTATGGGAATCTGAATTATAATCAACACAATTATGTTGAGTGTAATTGCTGCTAATGAAAATAGCTGTTGCATGTTGAATGTTGTTGCTAGATGGAAGCTACATTAGTAAGTAACTGAAGATTATAGTAACCTTCCAGGGAAATCTTGAGTGCTTCTGTTCTGATTCACTCTGGAAGATCCAGACTCGTTCTCTCCTGTCTGTGCAGAAAATCAAAACAGACTGGTTTCTATGTTATGAGACTAAAGTTAGTGCAGGCTTATCTTGCAGCAGTTGTTTGAGCATGAGGCTTGACTAATTCTTCTTGAACACACTGGTACAAACTTTAGTAAATGTGAAAGGCACAATTCACTAGCAAGTACATTTCTGCAGGTGTTAGATGCTTTGTATTCTCTTTTTTTAAATTTATGGTCTTTGAATTGTGTGTGCTCATGCAGCTTCTTACCTTAAGCAATTATTTTGTCTTGCATTCTCATCTTTGTTCTTTGGGTGCTTGAATCCCACCCAAACACAGCATTGTGCCATTTTAGGATCCCTAGGTTAATTATTCACTGCTTCAAAGTTGCACAGATCTTGTGTGGTCTCTATGTCATACCTGGCCCCATGCAGCTACCCTGCATACTCCAAGGTATTGAAAATATCGTCCAGTCTGAGGCTTTGCTGATGGTGGTTTTGCTGCCAGATGCTCTGGTGATGGGTATGGACTCCCTCACTGCTTCAATTGCTCTGAGAAATAATTTCCTCCAGCACATATCATGCTAAATTGAAGTGACAGAGTGCTTTCAGTCTTCCAAATGGAAACTAGTTATTCCCAATAAGATAATGAACTACAACACGCTAATAAGCAAACCTTAATATTTTGGGGCTACTATATGGCTTTTAGGGGAGACTCAAAACCAGGATGTGAAATGACACTAAAAGTTGTGGCACTGGCACTTCCTTAACAGTGGAGGTAAAGCTTTCTAGTGCTATTCATATTATACTTGAATTCCGTACATGTTAAACCAGAAGTAACAAAGCCTTTATTAGCGTAACGCAGACTAGTCTCTTGCCGTGCTCTACATGACAGGTATAGAGGCGGCGTAGGATAAGGTGGATTTTTGTAGTGGTGGAAATACTTGTCTGGAATGAACGCAGAAAAAGTATTACGTGATAAATAGTTTGAGGTTGAAAAACAGCGGGCAAACTGCTGATACACAGCTTTCTTTTATGTACCCATTTCTGCAACTTTTGAAGGATTTTGTTATTCCAACAACATTCTTGCTGCTGTATTTTAGTAGGCTCCTAAAATGTTGCTAAGCTCTAAAAGTCCTTTTTTTTAACTTCTTTTCTGCAATATGCAGAACATGGGAAGAACAACACATCAGTTCTAAAGACAGTATGTGATCACACATCGTTTTATGCAAAAACAAAACCAAGCTTTTTTGTTATTGCTCCATTTGAAAATTATAAGGGCAGGCTTCAAACAGAATTAGTGCCTCAGAGTAGCACAGCTCAATATATGAGACATTTGGGCCAAAATTCTACTTCAGTGGGTAACAGCGACAAAAATCCTATGGGATGTCGTCATGCCGCAGCTCTTACCAGCCCTTATTTCTGTATCGCTCTTTACCCTTGTTATTTTTCATTCCTTGCACAGGAATGCTGATCCACATGAACTCTAAGCTAGTGTCCAAATCACTTATTTTGGGAGGAGAGTCTTGGCAAAGGAAAACAAATACAGGAGTAGAAAAATATCATCTTTGAGCAATCCTGTAAAAAGTGTTGCCTGATGGAAATCCAACTCAGCCAACAAAACAGTGGAAGTAAACAGGCCCTGGGAAAAGGAAGCTCAGTCCCTTGTGCAATTTTATTCTGTCAGTAATTTCAGGCACAGCTGAAAAGATTCCCCCTGCTTTTCTTATCCCCTAGCAAGGAGCATAAAGAAGAGCTTTCTTCATTGGGAATATACTGCTGTGAGTTTTTGTGTGGTATTGATTACTATGATGTAAAAATCTTAAGGTGTCATATGGTCCCCTAAGCAAATCTGAAAATGAAGGGCCAAAATACCTAAACCGTGACTTCTGTAGCACTTGTGTCTACTCGTCAGTAGAGTGGGAGGGGGACAGGTCGTACAACCTTGAATAAGCAGAGGTGGGATGACTCTGGGACAAGTTAAATGGGAGTCGTTTTCAAAGCTTAGGTATCTGTTCTTCCCTTCTGGTGTGTGCTGGCTTTGAAGAACTGATAATGGAAACTTTAGTTATACCTTAGAGGTTTTGCCATCATACAACCAGGGTTTTTTTCCTATAGGTGATACACAGTCATTAGCAAGACAAAACACATTTTTTGGCTGTATAATATTTCAAAACATGTAGGAATATTCAGCATAGTTCTTGGGGAGTATCACATTCCCTCCTTCCCCCTCCATGAATGTCTATGCCTCATTTCCTTCCCACATCCAAAACTGGTGTGAATAGTTGTTCATTTTTAACTTTTTTTTTTAAGGCTAATGATTCTAAACAATGCTTCTTAGTACTTCCTAATAATATAAATGGAAATGAGGCTTTACAGGGAGTCTAGCTCAAGGGGAAAACTGGCTAGACTTTCATAATCAGGCATTGCAGTTGAGCACATACATAGCACAGTACAGATGCCCACTGTCTTGTGGATAGTATCTGATTACATATATTTAAACAAGCATAAAAGCCACCAGCTGTTAAAATTAAGATTTGAAAGAATTTTTTGTTTTCAGGATACTGTAGGTGAGTCATCTGATACCCTCTGCCACAAACCATAGTCAGTAAAGTATTTCCAGGTTATCCTTCATTTGCAGGATGAGAGCAGGAACATGAGGCAGTGATGGGTTTTTCTTATCTACAGATTCACTTGCACTGCCTGGTTTGTTTGGTTTTGTTTCTGGTCTTCAGTTTCCTTTCGTAGCGCTCTAGCTGGGTTTTGCTGAATTAACTTCTGTCAAATCATAATCACACTGGTAAAAACCAGTACTTACACTGTACTTAGTTTCTTTTTGAACAGGACTGGGATTAACTCCTAGCCCATGAATCGTCCTTATTTTTGCTTTTGACTAGAGACTTCTGTATTTCTCAGCAGTCCAGAATGGAGTTGAATCCCCTAGATGTCCAGAGTAACTGAAATATATAGTTATTTCAGGCTTAACCTCTTTCTCTTGTAAGCATCAATGTAAATTGGAGTACAAAAGAGTTTCTTTACCTGTTTAGATTTAAAATAAACAAACAAAAACCCCCACAGCTTTTGTAGAAGAGCCCACCTATTTCATACTTCTATCAGAGCAAGTTAGTCTTTAAAGTCTCTGCTTCAGACTTTCATGAGCTCTGGTCTTCTGCCTGGAGCTCTGGGGCAACCCTTGGCCCTGGTGAAGGTCTGCGAAGTCCAGTGCCTTTGCATCAAGGTTTAATTTACGATTGGACTTGATGATCTTTGAGGCCTCTTCCAACCATAATGATTCTATGATTCTATTCTAATTGCGTTGTTGGTGGATCCCTCTGCCTGGTGAGATTTGTGTTGTTTTGGTTTCTCAAGCATGACGCTTAAATGATTAATACGTGTTTTCACATCCCAACACACGTGATTTATTGCAGCAAGCTTGCAGGTCTACAAGCTCTGCTTCCCTCTTCCTATCTCTCCTGGCACCTATATTCTGCTGTGTTTACTTTTCTTCCCCCTTACCCCTACTGCAAAATATTATTTGTACTGTATATAGACAAAATCAAGACAGATCTGTTGGTTCCCGCACATAGTGTTATGGAGGCTACAGAACTGCAAAACCTGGTTTTTTTTTCTGATATCAAATCTGGATGTTGACTCTCAAGGTGAAAGACGATGAGACAAAGTTGTTGATTTAGACTGTGTCAGTTGTGGTCCCCAAATCTTTTCTGTTTCCTTTTGGGAATAATTCTGTCTGTTTCCAGTTTTTTAGTCCTGGAGTCTCACTGGCTTCCAGAAAAGCAGCTCATTTTTAAGATTAGCTTTTGCTGATACGAAAGACCTATGCAGTTTTTCTCTTACATTCTTTTTCTTCTGAGTGTGCAGTTTACTCCAGCTTTTGAGACCAAATCTCCACTTACACATAACCTGTACATTTTGAACATTGTTCTATTCCTTTTGCGTGTTCACATTTATCTTTCACAAGTCAAGATCTTTAAATCATGGCTGCATTAAATGAAGAGACTCTTTCATTTTTCTCTCCTATTCTTCACCTTAATTTTATTTATTCTGTGTAACATTTGAGGGGTAGTATTTGTGATTATTAATGGCAAGTAAAGAGCACACTGCAAACTTGAGCAGTCCAATGAGAAGGAGATTTTTTCCTAGTGAATAGATTAGACAATAGGCTTCTCTAATGCTGGCAAATATGAGATACTCCTTTAGAAGGTCTTGTCTGTAGTCAGGGAGATGCCCTTTTGAGCCTGCAGTTAAAAGCTTTATTCGAAAATACTTGCATGCCAAGGCTCAAATTTGTGTTTTGAAGGCAAGTCTTGATTCATATATGGCTAGATGCAAGAGGAGCCTAAAACTTAGTGTTGAAGAAAACTCTG